CGGGGGCCCTGGGGGATGTTTTGACATCTCGTCAAAGGAGGGAACTTGATGCTTCGAAAGCGCTTTTCACAGCCGGCCTGTGTCTGCTCCAGAGCTGATTTATAAACAGACCCGTGCTCGCGTCGCCGCTCCCCACCCCGCCAGCCCGGGTGCGGCGCTGAAGGCAGGGACGCGGCGGTGCCTGGCAGCACTGGGTTTATTTATTGCCTCTGGCCGGGAGCCGGGTCGGCCCGGGACCGCACAAGTTCCCCCCGGCCCCAGTGCCATCTCCACCCTAGGGGCGTGCGCTCCTCAAGCCCCACACCGTACTCTGGACTGAGCCCGGCTGGTGGTTTGGGGAGGGAGGCAAAGAGATGGCCAGGGCGCCCCGCGGGCCCCCGTCCCGCTGCACCTCATACTGACCCAGGGGGTGGAGGGTGGAGAGGAAGGGGGTTCCCTCCTCTGCCCCAAAGGCCGAAAGGGTCTGGAGCTGCCCATCGTAAACTCCTCAGGAGGCCTGCGGTTCTGAAGACCTCTTCCTCCAGGGGCTATCCTTTCTCAGGGATTCCTCTCTCCTCAGCCCCAGACCACCCCTTTCTCCAAGGCCGCAGTAGCCTTCCCCTTTAGAATAAGTTAAGGAATCTCCAGCTTCCACTCCATCCCAGGGAGAGGGGAAGAAAGGCTTGCGAGATCATGTCCTGGGGAAGTACTACAGCCCTCAGCCAGGGCCCAGGCCCAGGCCCAGGGCTGGGTGCAGATGGGTCACAGTGCCCAAGCCTCACATCTACAGAGTCCGGATGGCCACAGGGTAGAGCAGGGACATGTGCTCAGCCCCCTTAATGGGCAGCTTGCGGCTGGCGTAGTGGTGCACGATTTCAGGGACACTGCTGAACGGCGGGCTGTTCTGGCCCAGCACATACTTGTGTTCCTTGGTCCGAGACAGCTTCATGTGCATGAAGCCCTGACTGCTCCTGGGAAGAGGAGAGGAGACCCTGGTGAGTGGGGGCCCTGTCCAATCTCCCTCCCCTCCCCCAACCCTGCAGCAAATGTCTTGTTCCAAACCATTAGAGAGTGGAGGTGACTAGGGGAGATGGAGGTCAGTCCAGAAAGCAGAGAGGGGTGTGTGTGTGTGTGTGTGCGTAGGTAGCAATAGGTATTGGCTGTGGTGAGGGCACTGGGTGTGCCAAGAATGTGTGTGTAGTGAATATACAGGGTGTGTTCTAGTGGAAACTGGAGGGATCAACACCTCCCACCCCCACCCCAAACCCTGGTATCTAGGCACTCCTGCCTTCCACCCTATGTGGCCAGGACCAGTTTACCCTCCCCCTCTCTGAGCTGTGGAGGACACCCGTGAGACTCCTGATCACTCCCGTGGAGACACAGACACCCTTGGCAGGACAGTGGTGGACAGATGTGAGAACCAAGAGAATATTGGTTGGGGCTCTCTCTTGCAGATACTAGGGGAGGGGGTGAGCTGCTCCCCAAATCTGGGAATAGTGAGCCACCTTGTTCTGGGGACATCCCTTCACCCTCCTGCTAATTGGGCCTTGGGCTAAGCCCCCAGCTCATCCATCCAGCCCTTCAGCCTGGGCTGATGTCATGGGTGAGGCTGCAGCTCCATGCCCTCCCTCGGAGAGGATATGCTCCACTAACTGCCTCTCCCATCTCCCTGCCACAATCCAGGAAATCAGCATTAGTGCCTGGCCCTGCCCACAAGGCAAGGACCCTGCTACTAAGAACTCTCTCCATCTCCCAGATGTCTGGGCACCCTCAGCCTTAGAGAGAGTGTGGAGGTGGGGCCCCAGTAAGAACAACGTATGTCCAAACTACCACAGGCGTGGCTGGCTAGGCTCCAGGTCTGAAGCTCGCTCACAGGCAAGTGGTCAGTACTGCTTGGGGGAGCCCTGCTGGTCAGAGCCTACCTGGGAACAAGGACAGGGCTCAGAAGCAGGTGTGGGAGGTAGGACTCATGGTGAGGCCCCCACTCTTGAAGAGGTGAAGCTGACAAACCTCCTCACTTGCTTCCCCTGCCTGGGTACAAAGAAGTCTCAGGACCCATGTCACTAGGCTCACCAGTCAAAAGCGGGGAGAGTGGGGTGACTGACGAGAGGAAAGGGAAAGGAAGAAAACACAGGCCCTTAACTCCATCCTTCCCTCCCCTCCCTTCCCCAGGGTACAGTGCTCTAATGCCTGCTGAAGGCCCCAGTCCAGGGTGTATGTGTCAGGGTGTTGGGCCATCCTTCATCTGTAGGTCTGAGATAACTGCTGAGGTTGACAGTGACCACACGGGCCCTGGGGAAAGGAGCCAAGTGCCTCAGGAAAATGTATAGCCACTGGGGACTGTAGAGAGGGGAGACAGTAAGTGATTTCCTCCCCTGTCTGCCCTATACCTAGGCCCAGGCCCAAGGCTGTGGGCAGCAGCGTGGACCCTGCCTTACCTCACCCTCTTGCAGTTTGCGGATGGCCTCCTTCCCACAGTCCACTAGGGAAAATCACCTCTCCTAAAACCTGTATATTATATCTTCTCCCTGAGGGGCAGATCTGGCCAAAATGGGCAACAAGTAGCCAGAGACCGGAGCTGGAAGCTGAGAGCTCAGCCTCCATCTGGATAACTGACCTCCTGGGACAGTCCCAAGGGTCCATTAGGACACAGCAGAACCCCTGCCAGACCCTCAGGGAGCAGGGGTGGGACTAGCTGGGCCGCAGGGCCAGGTCTGGCTTGACTTTTGGAGGAAGCTGTTTAATTACCAATGAAAGCCCTTCCATTACGGAGAGAAGAGAAACCATAATTGTATTTCAGAGAAGCCATTTATATGCAAACGAGACTCTGGCAGACAGCTGCTGGCGGGGCAAGATCAGCCAGGGCTGGAGCCCAGCATCCAAGCCTGCCTCCCCCTTTATGCCCCAGGCTAGGGCAGGGCTGTGTTCTGCTGTGCTCTGCTCAGGGAGCCAGACCCCTGCAGTCTCCCCTTGCCTCGGACTGTTTCAGACTTGAGGGGAGGAGCTGTGCAATGGAACACTGTGATTAGACTGAGATGGGTTCAAATGCTGCTCTTGGAACTTTATTAGCTGGTGGCCTTGAGCAAGTCACATACCTCTTTGAATCTATTTTTGTTTATAAAGAGATTGATCTTGCAGCAGGATGGCAGTTGATTTAGAGATGCTACTTGGCAATAGTAGATGCTTTATGAGTCTTAACTAATTTTTAAAGCAATACACATTCCTGAAGTTATGTAAATCACATTTTTGACAAAAGAATTTTTCCCAAATACTCCTTTGATTTTATGATAATTTGCAGACTACCATGGTATGAGAGCTGAAAGAAACCTAAGAGGTAACCATCAACACATTTTGCAAGTGGAGAAACCAAGGCTCAGATAGGTTAAGGTTGCCTAGGGTCACATAGCTAGTTTTATTAAAACCAAGAATAAAACTCAGGTTCTGACTATAGTCTGGCCTTTTTTTTCTCATTAACTTTTAGTGAAGCTGAATAATTCTCTTAAAATGTATCTGCTTAGTAGTCCTAAATTTCCATATATTGGACTTGTTTGAAGTAGAGGTATATCTGTACTCTAATGCCCCAGAAAATGTGATAGGAAGTGGAATCGATGCCCCTGTAGTGACAGGGGGATGTGAATGGACACACCACTCTGACAAGCGGCCATGTGGGGTGCACGCTCTGCCAGGTTGGACTCCTTGGTGCCAAGGAGAGGACGTGGCATCCTGCCAAGACAACATGGGAGGCCAATACTGGCCTGTGTATCTTTGCTCCCACGGAAAAAGGCTGATGGAAGGGAGGGTCCTGCCTCCCCCACCTCTTCCAGGATCTTTAAGGCTCAGCAGCAACCAGACTCCTGCCCACTTCTTCACAGTGAACGAGAAAAGCTTTTTGTCCACTGCCCTGCCCTCCTCCCAGGTCCCAGCTTCCATCTCACCCTGTAGATCCTTTCAGGCAAAGTCCCTATCTTCTTGCCTATGCCTCTAGAACATCTCAGACTTCTGTTAATAATGATAATGGTGATAATTTATTGAGCACTTAGAGCCAAGCTAAGTGCTTCCCATACATTATTTCATTTAATCCTTCCCTATAAGGTAGATATTATCACTCCCCGACTTTGTAAGTAAGGAAACTGAGCCTAGAGAGGTTAAAGGGACCCAAGGCCACAAAGCCAGTAAGTGCCAGAAGCCTTTTGAACTGGACACTAGCTCAACTATTTCCCCCCAAAAAACTCTGAGCTGCTTGAGAGCAGGGGCTGAGCTCATACCTCTCCAGCTCCTTAAGGCCTGGCCCAGAGTTGGCAAATGTTCATGGTGGATGGGGTTCTCCCAGCTTGGCTGGGCATGGGGGAATATTAAAGTCTCCTCTTGTCCTGGTGGTTGTCCTCCCACTGATTATCCTTGGTGCCATCCTGACAGGCTAATTCTGCCTAGACCTGCCAGCCAGCCCACGCCACTCACTTGAGGGACAGGGAGAAGTCATTCTTGCTGGTCTCACTGTTGCGCACCAGGTAGCTGGCCTCTTTGCACAGCCGGAGCAGGTTCTCGGCATCTGTTCGACTGATGGCCCCATGGTACCAGCTGAGGATGAGAGAGAGGAAAGGGGGCATCTCTGCCGGGTCCCTAGCTGACCAGGCCCACCCATTCTGGGTGTCCCCTGCAGGCAAGCCAGCGCTAGGAAGGAAAGGGAGGGGAAAGAGTCCCCAGTTGGACACAGACACTCACACCTGGTTTTCCAAAGGCAGTGCTGGGTCTGTCCACTCCCCCAGGGGGCTGCTGGGCTCCATGCTTAGGGGCTTGGCTGACTTGGGGTTCCCTGCTGAGAGTCGGGGAGGTAGACGCCCCTTCTCCTCCAGGCCGGGCGACAGGCAGCTCTTCTCGGATCCTTCAAATTGGGCTGTGGGGAACATACCAGTCACAGACACTGAGGACCCCAGAAGTAGAGCCCTATAGAACAGCCAGTGGCCCACCCCTATGTCCTGCCAAAAGGGGTCAGAGCCATGTTCTGGAAGGGCTGGACATGCTCATGCGCCTGACTGGCTCTAGGGATGGGATTCTGGGTACAACCCCCAGGAGGGGGCAGGGGTACACGTGAGGGTGGGGCTCAGCCGTCCTGTGCCACACAGGGCCTCCCAGGCCCCACACTGTTTGAGAGGGGAGAGAGCAACAAGAGAAACCACTTAAGCTTCTCCCTCTGGAGCAGCTGACTGCCTTCCCCTATTCCATTCTCCTCAGGGTGGCTTCAGAGCTGATAATATTGTTTCTTTCTCCTCCTCAGAGTTCATTACTGTTCTCCAAATCACCCTGCCAAGCC